GGTTCCAGTGAGTGATGACCACACCACGGCCCTCCAGCCCGAGCAACAGAGGGAGACCCTGTCTGTAAAAATAAAATAAAATAAAAAATAGAAACCTAGCATTTCTCATAACCATCCAGATTTCTGACTGACTTCCTTTTTGTAATTAGGTTATCTGATCACACTGGCTCCCGGTGGTAACCCACAACTGGAGTTGAGGGGTGGCCCACATCAGTTCTCCAGCCAGCTTAACATCACAGGCACGTGTGACGTCACAAGTGGCTGGTGCTGGGACGGGCCTCTCCTGTGGGCATCTGTCCCCCACTTGGTGCATTCTTGCTTCCGAGCACACCCTCAGTGCTTCAGAGTGTACTTGCACATTTCAAAATCAGTTTCTCTAAATTTAAAAACATTTGGAACTCACTAGTCCCACCCCATCTGGGGTCCTTTCATAAATTCCTGATCTTATGTTGAGGCAGGAATGTTTTCCGTAAGCTACAGCGCTAGTGCCATGCACGTTCGTGTATATGAGGTTGCCATTACTTGGCAAAGAACAGGCCCCTGACGAAATAGTACCTGGCAGATAGGGTTGTGGGGTTTTTCTTTGTAGAGACAAGGTCTCTCTATGTTGCCCACATTGGTCTTGAATTCCTGGGCTCGTGCAATCCTCCCACCTTGGCCTCCAAAACAGACGGGATTGCAGGGGTGAACCACACACCTGGCCTGGTAGATAGGTTTTGATTGGAAAGGGTGTGTTTTTCCTAATGCAAAAACATTACTTAGGCAGGATGACAACATGGAGCGGAACGGTGGGGTAGGGTAAGGCTGCCAAGCACAGGGACGAGCAGGAAGATACCAAGCTCAGAAAGTGGAGAGAAAGGTGGGCAGCGGAGGGAGGGGCTGACAGCTTCCTGCCCGTCTTACCTGAGATGAGCTTGAGGATTGAAGCTTTTAGTGACAATAGTTGAGCGTATTTTTAAACGATCTTACTGGAGTAGAGATCTGCAGGAAAAATTTAATTTGGGTCATTTAATCAGTAAAATGACCTAGGTGGACTAAAAGATTCAGAAAATTCTTAGCAAAATAAAATTCAGTGGAGCTGTTTTACCTTTACTTTTTTCTTCTTTTTTTTTTTTTTTTTTTTTTTTTTGGGCAAAGCATCTGACTCTACCCAGCGGTATTTCCAGTAATTGCCTTGCTCTGTAGCCCTCTCTTTTCTGAGGGCTTTATATTACTTGAGATGAAAAGCAAGAAAAGTAGAACTCTGTATTGTAAAATACAGAGGGCATTATTAGGTAAGTGCAGACAAACGTACTTTCTGACCAGGACCTTGCACTGGGGGAAGAGAGCGAGAGAGGGGTGACCAGTGCAGGGGAGTCATGCGCAGTGAACCAAAGATAACTAACAGTTATTCTCTGACAGTATTTCTTAGAAGACGCAGGCTTTAATTTCGTTGTTGTTGAGACGGAGTTTTGCTCCGTCGCCCAGGCTGGAGTACAGTGGTGCGATCTCTGTTCACTGCAGCCTCTGCCTCCTGGGCTCAAGCGATTCTTGTGCCTCAGCCTCCTAAGTAGCTGGCATTACAGGTGCGTGCCACCATGCCTGGCTGACTTTGTATTTTTAGCAGAGACTGGGTTTCGCCATGTCGGCCAGGCTGGTCTCGAACTCCTGGCCTCAAGTGATCCGTCCTCCTTGGCCTCCCGCGGTGCTGGGGTTACAGGCGTGAGCCTCCACGCCTGGCCCCGAGCTTTAATTTTATCCCAGTACATACCAAACCATTATTTGGAAGTCAATTAAATCATGTCACGTATTAGAAAAAAAGAGTAAACTATAAACAGGTCCTTTTTAAGCTATGTCTCTCAAGGTAAAAATCTAAATTTTTGACTTTCATAAAACTGATAAGTTTAAACTTTGCTCCAAAACCACCACAAGCAAACATAAGAAGTTAGCATCAGAAAAAAAATTCACTCAATTTTAAAAGTAAAAGTGGAATGTGTGAGAGTATAAAGACAAAAAAAAAATTAATTTTCAAAGCTAAATTGTTAAATTCAAAAAAATTGTATGTATGTGGTATCCTTTGATATAAAATTCATATCATGGGCAAAACTGGCAGCAATAATATGGTTCCATATATGACTATATTTATAACTGAATTAACCACGTTCTCCACATTCTTTAAGCAGAGTTCAGACGATGAAGACTGTTCGGCGAAAGGAAGAAATCGTCACATTGTAGTCAATAAAGCCGAACTTGCTAACTCCATTGAAGTGTTAGAAAGCTTTAAATTGGCCAGGGAGAGCTGGGAGTTGCTCTATTCCCTAGAATTCCTTGACAAAGGTAAGAAAGCACATGTCATTGGTGCTGTTTAATGTTTTATATAAAATCATTATGCTACTTGAA